TGAAGTAGCAGTCATCAGATTCCTTCATTACTTGTTGAAGTAGTAGTCGTCAAAGATTCCTTTGTTACCTGTTGAAGTAGTAGTCGTCAGATTCCTTCATTACCTGTTGAAGTAGTAGTCGTCAGATTCCTTCATTACTTGTTAAATTAGTAGTCGTCAGATTCCTTCATTACCTGTTGAAGTAGTAGTCATCCAAGATTCCTTCTTTACTTGTTGAAGCAGTAGTCATCCAAGACTCCTTCAATACCTGTTGTAGTAGTAGTAGTCCAAGATTCCTTCATTACCTGTTGAAGTAGTAGTCGTCAGATTCCTTCATTACTTGTTGATGTAGTAGTCGTCCAAGATTCCTTCATTACCTGTTGAAGTAGTAGTCGTCCAAGATTCCTTCATTACCTGTTGAAGTAGTAGTCGTCCAAGATTCCTTCATTATATGTTGAAGTAGTAATCGTCAAATTCCTTCATTACATGTTGAAGTAGTAGTCTCCAGATTCCTTCATCACCTGTTGAAGTAGTAGTCGTCAGATTCCTTTATTACCTGTTGAAGTAGTAGTCGTCAAAGATTCCTTCATGATACGTTGCAGTCAAGCTTTATACTTACCAGCAGTCACTTTGTATGGCATCTATAAGCCCATCTTCGACAACTCTCTCCAAATGGAATCTTTAAGCCTATTCTCGACACAATCAACTAACACATAGTCGAGTGCAAATTTCTATGCACTCTACTGTTCAATCATCTTCCACCTTCAAGTCACAAATGGCGGACTCGTCAATATAACTCTTCAGGTTTAAGAAGATTGAACAGGGGCAGTTGTTGTACCCAAAATTTTCCCTCTCATTTCTCAAGAATTTTCTCACAAAATCTCAATTGCTCAAAATTGCATAAGGTTTGATCAGCTCAAGACACTTCCTCAACACTAGGCTCAAATTAAGGTTTGGGTTTGGACAAGTACAATTGGACTTTTAATTCCCCATATAGTCTCCATGGATCATATTGGGCTCTCAAGCATCAGGTCAAAGATGGAACTTCTTAATTCTCAAAAGGAGGAAGAAGAAATTGTCGAAAGAGAAAAGCAGATAAAAAAAGGTGTGCAGCTGCAGATAACAGTTCGAATTCAAAATTTGGTCCAGGTTGTTCGAACCACATGATTGATCGAAAGAAGTGGTTGGTAGATTTGGACAAATCGAATAAAAGCAATCTTGATTCGATCTACAAACTTCAATTGGGCAATGGTTTCCTTCTAGCAACCTGCTTCGATCCACCTCTAAACCTGCTTCAATCCACAAGCTTCGACTGAGAAATAGTTTCCTCTGAACCTGCTTCAATCCACACGCTTCGACTGGGCAATGGCTTCCTTCATGCTTGCTTCGATCCATAAGCTTTGACTAGGCAATGGCTTCTTACATGCTTTCTTCGGTCCATAAGCTTCGACTGGGCATTGGCTTCCTTCGAGCAACCTGCTTCGACACACATACTAAACCCTTCGACACACATAGTTTCGACACTATGAATTACAAGTCTATCTTCATGCTTGCTTCGATCCACAAAGTGGTACATTCAGATCAATGTGGTTAATTCGAAGAACATACAATTGGTGGAAACAAATATTGTTTTGTCTGTTGATGAGTTTGGACGAAAGTGGTGGATTTATGTGATCAAAACAAAAGGACGAAGTATTCGACCAGAGTAAAGAAAAAGATCAAATTCATAGGCCATGCTACATGATCTTGCTTTGTAGGCATCAAACTTGTGTTTCACTCCATAATTAATTGTTTACACAATGAATTAAGCTCTTACCCAAGTCATTAAGCCATTGTCCAAAAGATCTTTTCATAAAGTAAGCTTGTTGGTATAAAATTTGTCTTGAGTCCATACCTTGCTTACTTCTTATTATACTCCACCATAAATCATGGAAAGTATCCCCTTTGTAACAACAACTTTGGTACTTCATCTTAGAATCATGGAAAACTTGACATAACTTGATATTTGCATTCCAACCGAACAATAATTGGTTATCTTGCAAATCTGATTACTTCAACTTCCAAAATATTTTCCCTATAAATAGAGAGACCATTTGCAAGCTAAAGGGGCAAGATTCTTGTGTGTTGAAAAATCCTCAAACACTCTCAAACTCTCAAAAACTCAAAACATACACACAAGCACAAAACTTGGCACATTCTAACTTTACACACAAAATCTCAAATCCCTCTGTGCGTTTTTTTTCCTTTCGATTCACTAAGCTTCCATACACCATCCTTAGAACACTCTCAAACCTTCTAAAAACTCCTTGAACTCATAATCGAAAGCCACATTGTTTGTCATTTCTGACTTTGAAGAGCCAACTCCAAAATCCTTCTGGCTTTCAAAGCAAAGCAGTGATCCCACTAGCTCAAGGAAGGTCCCTGCAAGCTTACTCCATCATCAAGTCATTTCTGGAATTCGTGTAGAAGTCCTTCGAATTTCACTCCAAGAGGTAAGTTTTTCAAACTTGGACCTCTTCATTCAAGCATCATCTGTATAAACTTTGTGAAGAAAAGATGTAGATATCATGTCTAGGAAGCTGACCATATCCATAGTTTTGATTATCTTTGCTTGTACATTGATAATTTCTTCTCTGATCAGTTAGGTTTTAGTTTTAGTACTGAACAATATTCATGCTAACTTTCCACCCATAACTTTTGAAAATCACGTGGTTAGATACGTATTCAAATTTTAGGCAAGTTTGATATTTACATCTTTGGCTGAGAAATGAAACTTTTCGAAGCTTAACAATGGAGTTATGCATTCCTACGTGTGTGAAGGAAGAAGATGAAGTCATGTTCAAAATTTCAGAAATGAGTTCATTTTATATTTAGTGCAAGTTGTATAACTAACGGATGAAACAGACCACCTCAGTGGTACAAACAGCGCGCGCTAAAGCCTTGCCATGTAGAAAGGTCATGGGTTCGAGCCCCAATGAGACCTTTTGTATTTATGTTGTCATTTTTTTCCAAACTAACATACAGGTTTATAACATATTGAATGGGTTACATACATGCAGGTTTCGGATCATAGTGTCTCACGCACTAACAAAATTTTTTGATCGCATGCAATTTTTTGAAAGATAAATAATACGAAGGATAATTTTGCTATTATAAAAATATGTGAGGGTTTCGGATCAAAATGAGATTGAGATGACAGGAATTCTCTTACACAATGTACATGATAATCCACAATCACTCTGACAAAGCATGAGACTTGTAAAAAAAAGGTTTAAATTTAAAGTTAGGATTATGTAGTCTTTGCTTCTAAATGTACTATGAGTCTTGTCACTAAACTAATTAAAAAATAATAACAATAATTTGAATGGAAATGTTAATAAGCGGAAAATAGAGTTTACAAAAAAGTTGAAAAATAGAATTTGTTGTGATTGATGACAATTAACAATACGAAGGTAAGTGATGATGGAATCAATAGTTTTGGCTCCGACAAAGGAATAGAGTCCGTAGACTTTTATGCATGCAAAGGAAGGTACTGCAACTGGAGCGTTTATGTCCCAAACAGTGGCTATGTAACAGAATAATTATTCCAAACCATAGGAGGTAAATGCAGGCCAATCAATATTGTGGGGCACTTTCTTTAACGCACAAATAGACAGCATTTTCATCAAAATAGACAAAATTGTAGGGCATATATATAAGTCAAATTTTATGCACTGTGATTTTTGTGCATGACCTGCACCTACCATTTTCGAATATTACACCAACCCTTGGTAAAAATCTCTCACTTTCAGTTTTAAAAAAAATTGTGTAAAATTAAAAATATAGATATAAAAAAAATCTATAAAAACTAAAGAATACAGGTGTATAAATATGAGAATTGGATTCCCACCATATGATTACAAGTTTCAAATTTCAAAAGAAAAATAGTGACTTGTGTTATTCTATACGAAATTCTAGCATATTATAGTAAGTGCATATATAATACCAAAAGCACTACATAATGTCTTTGTTTACATTACTTATAAACCAATCAATTTATACGTCTTTATGGAAAAAAAAACATTCAATCTTAAAAAAAACATAATATGGAGATGAAAGGCTGACAAAAAAAGATGTGTTGATTTTTGCATAAGATGATGAAGATTATTATGAACCTTGATAAACTCTTTCTTAGTACTGACACTAACCATGAAATGAAAAACACATCTCTTTGTTTATGTGTGACAGAGACAAGAACTGCATGGTAATAGTGTCTTTGAGTTCTTTTTTCAGAGATGAGGTTACTCACAAGATTCCTCCTAGTGGACCCTTCTTCAAGGGTTTATTACTCCATGTGTGATGCTGGTTTTTTCTACCTTTCATTAGGGTGGGTCTCTTACAATGATAAAAGTAGGGTCACTGTCTCAACTATTCAATGTACTAGTAGTACCTTTTTTTCTTAAATATTAACCTCATCACATTTTTCAATGTTAAATCTTGTTTAATTATTTTACCTTTGTTTCAGTGCCATGATTAAACTTAATTACTGTATTATGATTTATGAGACCATTCTTCAACTTAAGATAAACATAAACATAAAACAAGATTGGTACAAAATATTATTTTGTTTTCATTATTTTGAAGCATAACCTGACTCTATGGTAAATATCTCTGTGATTAGAGTTATTTAATATTCACCCCAAAAAAATAAAGAAATTTAATAAAATTGAAAAACTATATTTGCTACAACAACAAAGTACCAACAAGCCAACAGCCATCAAATTTCCCTCTTCAAAGTCCATGTGTCATTCCACCGTACATATTCAAATTCTTCCACACTCAGTAGAGAGTACTCTCTTCTCCACCATCACTACCACCACAACCACCATCTTCCTCCACGACAACTCCTGCATCATCTCTGACCAACCAACAAACTTATTTTTGATATTCTTTTAGCTTTTTTTTGCAGCTGCTTCATTCTCATCATCACTTCACTACTACTACAACTCAAGCTGATGCACCCACTGCTGGCTTGTTTGCCTCTATCTCAAAGTTACCACCCCGCTACCACTTTCATCCATATCTTCTTCTCTGTCTCTATCATCTTCGTCCATGTCATCTTCTTCCTCTCTGCGGTTTCTCTCTTCTTGCTGAGGTGGCCATTGCTGCTCTGGTCTCACCATTAACGGAGCGGCCATGTTCTCCGCTTTTACCGCTGGGTTCAAACCGCTGCCGCTGCCGCTGCCCCCGGAATTGTCTCCTTTGCCTTTCTCCCTGTATAAAGCATCCAACTGATGAAAATAAGGACATGTCTTTGAATCTTCTGGTCTCTTCTTGTTACTTTCTTTCACTTTCTTGAAGTACTTGTTTATGTTCTCCCATTTTTCTTTGCACCTTTTGGCATTCCTATTGTACCCGAGGTTCCGCATTGCTGAAGATATATCCTCCCATAGAGGGCCTTTTGGTCCATTCTCTTGGTACTTGTTGTCCATGCTTGTTCTCAGATTTATCAGTGCTTCAACTTCCACTTTCGGCCACCTCGACGGACTTGCTCCCATGAAACTCTCACCGTTATTATCAAGCTTTACTATTTCCCTATTCATCACCAGTTGCTGCTGTGGGACAATTGGTTGGCTCGGCTTAGTAACAGGCGGTGGTTGCAATGGCGGTGGTGCATGAACTTTTACTGCTAATGCTTGTGTTGGTGTTGGTGCTGGTCCTGGTGCTGGTGCTGGAGCTGCTGTTGCTGTGGACACTGTTGTTGGTGCTGGAGCTGCTGTTGCTGTGGACACTGTTGTTGGTGCTGGTGCAGGTGCGAGCACTGGTGGTGGTGGTGTTGGTGTTGCATTTCTTTGTAGTTGTTGTGGTGGCGGTGGTTGAGCAATGTTGATGTTATTCAGTGTTTCTCCTAGATTTTGCTGTTCCGCAATTTTTTGCAAGAAAGACATAACTGCAGCATCTTTTGCTGCAGCTATGGATCTTTCTTGCGCAAGAATTTCCCTCTCTCTAGTGATTCTTAGCATCTCTTGTGCTCTCCATGCTTCTTCTCTAGCCACTTTTTCCTGTTCCCGTTTCTCAATGGCTTCCAAGAATCTCTTCTGCAAATCCTCCTGCTTCTCAATCACTTCCTTCATCAACCTCTCAAAAAAGTCCTTCCATTTCCTCTTCCTCTTTCTTGATCCTTCTTCTGTTGTGTCCTCTGAAGAAGTCGAGTATGAGCTCGCCATGGAATTGGATAGTAGATCTGTAGAAATGTTAGGGAAAGATGGAAGTGGATTGGTGGTGGTGGTAGGGTTTGTTGGTGGAAGTTGGAAACTAGTTGAAGGATTAATTGAAGAAATGGCTTGGTTCATATTCATTGTTTGCGTTTGGGTAGTTACAACATTATTTTGAGGCACTGAAATTGATGAAACAGTTACATGAGGAGGGATACTCATTGCTGTGTTGATCACCGGTGGCAATGACATTGGGACTGTTGTTGATTCTGTTATCGCAGCTGTAACAACTTGCGACGGTGTCTGTGTCTGTGTTGGTGTTGACATTGATGCTGAAATTTGTGGTGATCTTGATTGGTTTTGCGGCTGATATGACTGTTGATAAGTTGAAGGGTGGTTATGAAAATGATCAAAGGCTTCTAATTGATCAAAAAATCTATAAGTTTTACCATCTGATTTTCCACCTCTACCATCTTTAGTTCTCTTGTGATACTTATAAACATTTTCAAATTTCTCTTTGCATTTCTTTGCACTTCTGTAAAACCCAAGTTCTGCTAGCTTCCTGATTAATAATAATTTAAGTGAGAAGCAAATAAAAAATAAGAAATTAAAAAAAAAAAAGATAAAAAAGATAAAAAATGTATGTACTCTTTATCTTATCTCTCAAATTCAGCTACAAGACAAATGCATGATTAAAAAAAGCATGGAAATTAGCATAAGATAATAACAAAGGTTTAAATTATACTGAAGAAATTAAAGTAGTGTTACATCATGGAAATGCAAGGAAAATGAAGTAACTGAAAGAGAGATAGGAGAAAACATGAAGCTGAGTTAATATGATGAAACTTTTTTGTTGTTTTATGTAACAAATTTCCATGAATTCATGAAAAGAAATGTGAGCCATGAAAAAAGCATGAACTTAAGTAGGAAAATTTGATAAAATATTAAACTTCAATTTCCCATGAGAGTTGGTAACCGAAATAAAAGGGGGGAAAAAGAAAATCCAGCTTTTGATAACTCAATTCAAGTTGGTAACTTATTTGGAAAATTGAACATGAATCAAAGTTAGTGTGAATGTCAGAAAATAAAATAAATCCCACACAAATAATTTAGCCTACATCTAAATTCTTTTTTAATAATTTAAACAAACAGCTATAAAAAAAAAAGAGGAGAATTTTAAGGAAAAGAGAAAAATACAGAAAGCTGAAAAACTGGTAAAAGAAGCAAAAACAAATGATGGAAAATGAAGCAAACTTGAATTCTCTCAGATCTCTAGCTCCCATGAAATTATATTTTTTTTAATAAATTTTTTTTTTTAAAAACTCAAAATTTAAATGAAGTAAGAAAATTCAATGACATTAAGCAACTTAATAAACTAAAAGAAAATTATTTATTTATCTTCATACAAAAAAAATATTTACCTTGAAACTTCATCCCACAAAGGACCTTTAACACTTGCATCTCGAAAAACTGTGTCCATGTCCGATCGTATCCTTAAAAGCGCCAAAGTTTCCGGTCGCGGCCACCGGTTACCGCCGAAGTTACGTTCACCTTCTTCAATTCTACTTCTTTCAATATCACTTTCAGAATTTGATCCAACTCCGCCACCACCACCACCTTCCGCCGTCATGTTGGGTGTTGATATGTTCCCACCGCCACCCAAAAGAGGTGAGTGGTCACCCAGCATGGTTTCTGTTTTTTTCTCAAACAACAATTACAGCAGTTGAGATAAGAGAAAAAAAATTAAAATATAAACAGAGAGAAAATATTAAAGAGATGGTGAATTCTTTGAATTTTGATGGGTTTTTATTTATCTGTATAAGTTTGTGTATATATATGTATGAAATGAAATGAAAATGCTTTCTCTTTCTCTCTCTTTCTTTGTGTTATATGGGAGGTGAATTTATTATTGTTTTTTTAAATCTATTTTTGATTAATAATAATGAATATTTTTCCTTTTTTTTTTGTTCTTTTTTATTTATTTAACTTTTAGGTCCTTCCTTTTTTCATTGTTTTAAGGGGTCGAATACAGTTCAAAATTATTTAATTAATCATATAATTTATTTAAATTTATTTTATATACATATAAATACAAAAAAAATGTATACTGTCAATACATTTTAATTGTTAGTTCATTAAAACTATTTGACTAATATTATAATTATCTTCAAAATTATAAATAAAAAAAGATAAAGCTTATATTACTTTATGACAATTAAACTTTTTTTAATAAATTTAATATGTTGGATTTTTTTCTATTATGTTTTTTTTTTAAAAGTGAATTTTAATTATTTTATATTTTCATATTATTTACATCCTAAATTATAAGTCATTATAACTATTTTACACAAATTAAAACTAATAAATTTATTATTTAAAATATAAATTATAAATTATTTTTTTATTTATTCTCATTAATATATGAGAAAGATGAACTGAAACATATGAAAACAATAATATAGTAAATAAAAAATGTATACTAAAAATATTACTTCATATGTTTTTTTATTAAAAGTTATTTTGGAAAGAAAAAGTATACTAAATTATAAATATTTTAATTTATATTTATGAATCATTACTATTATTTTTATATTATATTTTTGAATATTTAATTTTTTCTTTTAATTTTTTAATTTATTTTTATATATGTTATTAGTAAAAATAACTTTGTAATTTATAAATCTTTATTAAAAGGCGATATTATTATATTAGGCTTCATTAATGGTCTAGGATTCAATTTCTTAGACCTTAAGGTTTTGTGTTTGAATTTTGTAAATATTTTTATAATTTCTTTTATATAATAATTGTGGACTTTTTTTTTATTTAAATAAACAATGTTTTCAATAAAATTTCCTTTCTATTTATTTTTCAAAATAATTTTTTTCAAACAAAAAATTAAAATTAAGAGGTGTTGTCAATTGAATTTGCGACAATTTATATTTCATAAGAAATATTGTCTATTGGTCAATTGGTGACATTGTATAAATAGATATATAAATTCAATTATTGACATTTCTTATAAAATGTATGCAATCGTCAATAAAATTGGTTACATCAGATATAGTTGTCAATTCAATTGACGATACCTTTTACTTTTATAATGTTATCATTAATTCAATTGGCAACAGCTCTGTGTTTAAATTTTTTTTTAGAATTGGGTTACTCTGAGAAATAACTCTAAATATGAATTACTTTGAGAAATAAATTGAAAAGGTCGGTTATTTGAATAAAAATTCAACAATTGTTACATTTATTTAAAATAAAAAATAATTATCAATAAAAATGTACACATATAAAATGATTTAGATATTAAATTATAATGGTTAAGAGTTTTACATTGAATAATATATGATTTGAACATATACTTATAAGTGAGAATTATCATCTTACAAACTGCTTTTATAAGAATGAGTTAGACTTAATCATATCTTAAACATGATATCAGAGTGTGTTTTAAGATTTGGTAGGCCACCTACTATCAGGTTTCCGCTATCGAGTCTTCTCTCATTTATTTCTTCGTTACAAATATCAGGTTTGAGCATGAGAGAGTGTGTTAAAAGCCCCACATCAGATAATATATGGTCTGAACATATGCTTATAAGCAATATATCATACAAGCCGATTTTGTAGGAATAGTTAAGTCAAACCAAATTTCTTAACATGGTATCTATTGTGAATCTTGTTGTGAATTACGACAAAATTCAATATCAATTTGTGAGACAAAGAATAGTAGCAACCAAAATAAATAGTCTACAACAATAATAATTCGTACACAGATAATATAACAAAATAAGGCGAGAAAAAAATAAATGTTTGTTTACCCAGTTCGATCAAACGATCAACTCTAAGGCAGTTAGCAGCTCTTCAATTCACTATACTCAGAAAAGTTGTTACAAGAGATTACAAATGATTTACAAGAAAATAGCTTTCGCCTTCAGGTTCCCAAGAACAACCCTGAATGCGCCTAAGAATTACCCTATTTTCTAATCAAGTGGTTCCCAACCTCTTCAACCTTCAATATATGAATAACTCAAATCCAAGGTGTAAACAAGTGTTTCACAATTCCCAATAACCTTAGATAACCCCTAAAGTTTCCAAAACCCTTGCATTTCTAAGGTTTCCCTTGAGAATAGCAAAAACCCTATGTTATGTCTTTAACCCCTTTCTCTCCCTTGTTGTTATAAGCTCTAAGATTGTCACACCTGCAAACATATAAGAGATACATATTTATAATAACAAATACCTAACAAACAAAGCCCAAAATCACAATCCAATTATACATGGATTCATGGACCGAACCAAAAAAGTCTGAAAACTCGAAATTACTATTCACCATACGGACAATATTATTCACCGTACGGCCAACATTATTCATCCATGCAGACGGTACTACTCACCGACCGATTTTTTTCTTCCTTTTTCTGATTTTTATTTTTCGAATTTTTGTCTGACTTTCTAAAACTTATGATTTTTGCGGTAAATGCAATCTCCAAAATATGTTTTCTTTATCTTTATCAACAAAGATTTTATGGCACATTTACAACAATATCCACCTGGACTTTAAACTGTGTTGATACCAAATTTAAATTGAACAACATTGTTGCTCTCTACCAAGTTGAAACTCTAATCAACAACCTTGATCAAATTCAAACAACCCTTGAATCTTGATCTCGCCACTTGCAGCCACTTGTTTCCAATTACCTTTTTCCGCCTAGGTAATTTAACAAGCCTACAAATATGATTTTTCAACCACCCTTGACTCCACCTATTTTTAAATGTCTCCCTAAAGGTTTTTCTACTTTTATTTTGCAGTCCGTCAACCACATTAAAAACATAATATCCAAGGCTAGCATAACCGTCCCTTTGAGATGCTACAATAATCATCCTTACCTTATCATGAGTCAACTGATAATCAAAGATCTTTGTAACCGTTCCCTCACTACTACTAGCATCCATAGTAGGAAATTTCAACTCAAACTTTGTTTTCTCTGTTATAGTTTCTATCGATTTTCTCCCTTGGTATTCACTATTTTTCTTCTGAAGAAATTGTCTATCAACCAAGAAAGATGTTTTAACCTCAGCTCTTCCCTAAAAACTCAACGGTAACATGCATTTCTATCTCTTGATTTCTGCAAAACTCATTATACTCCTCTGAAACTTTCTCAAGGAATTCATAACTCCTTAAACCCAAATCCCATAGTTCTTCCTTATCATGAAAGCCTCCACTAGTTAATGATGAATGAACAATACTTGAACCTTTTAAAATATATAGACCACATATTTTAAACCCTTTAACAATAATCAATTCATCACGCGAAATCTTCAACACTCCATGTTCAACTCTAGTACAATAGCCTAGATCATCAAACATACTTATAGATAACAAATTTCGCTTGAGTTCTGGAACATACCTCACATTGTGAATAAGAAGTTCACTATCATCAAATATTTTAAGTCTGAGCGTTCCAATACCATGAACCTTGCAAGCCTTATTATCACCAAGGAGAACAACTCCACCTTGAACCATCTTCAAAGTTTTAAAGATTCTATTCTTGGACACATGTGATAAGAGCAACCTGAGTCAATGACCTAACTATCTTCAGTTTCCAAACTCGATACTACTAGTGCTTCGGCATACTCATAACTTCCTCACCCAAGGCAACTGTAGCTTGAAAAAAATCTTCATTGATATTTCTCTCAGGATAATCCCTTTTAAAGTGACCGATTTTCTGACAATTAAAATATTTTACCTTTGACTTGTCAGACCTCTTTGATTTAGACATCCCTTTACGCTCACCTTCTCCTCTTGACACATTTAAGCCTTCATTGCTATCTTCATTCTTCAAATCTTTCGACTTTGAAAATTCTTTGGATTTCACATCCGTCAGAACTTCATCCAAAGTAATAGTACCTTCCTTACCATAAAAAGGGCATCATTAAAATGCTCAAAGGGTCTTGGTAATGAACTCAACAAGAGAAAAGCCTTGTCATTATCATCAATCTTCACTTCAATATTCTCAAGATCAGCGATAATCTTGTGAAATTCTGTAAGTTCCTCAACTATGGATTTGTACTCCACCATTCGAAATGAATAGAGTTGTTGTTTCAGACACAACCTTTGAGCCAAAGACTTTGTCATATACAATGATTCAAATTTTACCCACATAGCAACCGCAGTTTTCTCCCTGGTAACTTCTCTTAGAACTTTATCCCTGAGGCACAAGATAATGGAACTTTTGGCCTTATCCACCATCTCGGTCTACTGTACCTGTGTAAGACCTGTAGGCATTAATACATCACTCTTAAAAGCATCAATACACCTCTCTTGAATTAAAATTGTTTGTATCTTAATTTTCCACAACTTGGAGTCATTGTTACTGGAAAATTTCTCGATCTCCCATCTTCCCATGGTGCTCACTTGTCAACAATAATTCTTTGCTCCACGCTCTCCGCACCATTTGTTGTGAATCTTGTTGTGAATTACGACAAAATTCAATATCAATTTGTGAGACAAAGAATAGTAGCAACCAAAATAAATGGTCTACAGTAATAATAATTCATACACAGATAATTTAACAGAATAAGACGAGAAAAAAACGAAAGTTTTCTTACCTAGTTCGATCAAACTATCTACTCTAGGGAGGAAAGTTGATCTCTAATTCACTATACTCGAAAAGTTGTTACAAG